TTATAGGCCTGATAGTAAACATGTCAATGACTACGAATTTGTCTCCTTGGAACATTAACTCATTTGTAGCTACTAGAGAGATGCATGATATCCTCTTATGGTTTATATATCCTATAATTGCCAGTTGGATCTCAAGAGTACTGGAAGAATATATAGACGCGGCATTGGCTAAGTACATATTGCACATAGATTACCATCCTATACTTGAGAAAATATCTTATATCATTGCAAAAGTTCATCTTTCTATCATGCTTGAAGTAATTTGATTGGTGAGGCATACAATTTTAATAACATTCTTGGGGGGTAATTTTTTTCATGTGTGATTATTTGCTTCATTTCGTAAATTAGAGAACTATTTTTTGCCTATATCTTCTTCAATGATATAACTATTATAGATCAAGGAAACAATAGAAAAATAATTTAATAAGTTAATTTTAAGCATATATTTTTCTCCTAACAATTATAATTAAGTCCATGAAAAAATTGCAAAATTTCCATCTTAAACTAATTCATTCATAATATCAACTAGAGACTTTTATTTTGCTTCGATAAACTATCAATTTCAACATGTTCTGCATTTTCTCATAATAAAGAAGGTAGTTTTTACTGCAAGAGTTCTTGTTTTGGCAAAGATGCAAGTTCTAAACTATTTTTTACCATGCAGTAACATTGTAAATTTTACATCATTTTTATTTTTTTCACAATTACAAGTTTTTGCTTGTATGATCCATTCATAATTTCATTGCTCTCATATGAATGTGTTACTGCTATAAGTTAATCATATGTTCACACGATTTAATGTATATCACAATGATAAAATATAATTATGCACAATTTTATGAATAATGTAATATTTGCAACCAGAGATGAAAAGGAACACCTCAAATGCCATCAAAATATTATGTGCTTTATCATCTCTATATGATGAAAATTATTTCAGATATGACGATATGAGTTGCGATGACATTAAAATATATTGGATTAAGGATGATCAAATCATGATTGCAAATATCATAATTATCAAATTATATCAAATTTTTTTTTGAAAATGATCAAAGTTGAATTAAAAATATGATGTGGCTATATATGCCCTCTGCTTTATTTAAAAAATATTCTGTTGTTGAAATGCAGTCAGATATTTTGTGTCAATTTTATGAAATTCATTTATGACATCTTTCCTAAAATATATATATTGGCAATCGAATTTAAGGTTCGAATTTGAGTAATGATTTATAACAGAATAAAGTGTGATGTAATCAATATCTTGGACATAAAATAAAAAAAAATTATTATTAATTCATTATTTTTAACCATTTGAAAATATTCATATGAAATTGTTATGACTGTGTATTTTGTAATAATTTTAAAAAAATTTCAATCTACATTTTAATGCAATAATTAATAAAAATTAACAAGAAAATTTTCTTTCATACTGGCATAGTATATTTCATATAAATCATCAATATTTTTTTAAGAACACAGGTTTTTAGATTCAATTTTGATATATTCCTTTCAATTTGTATTAAAATGAAAAATCAGGTAAAACTTTAAAATTGAATGTATGATTTCACTTAACTTAAAAATCAGATTAATTCAAAGAATAATTATTATTTTAATTATTTTTGGAAATATTGGCTTTCAAATAAATCTATTCAAAGAAATTCACATATAGAGGATGAAGTCTAATGAGTTGTGTTGAATAGAATATCATAGCAAGAGATTATCTTCATCAGAAATCTAAAATCTTGAAATTATAGTCTAATTATTATTAGAGAAAAGAAAAAGTTACGACTTTTATGTCTACTATTAAAAATTAATAATGATGGAAATTAAAATGAAGACTTATTTAAGTATAATATTTAATTTTTCCTTGATATATATTATACACATTGTTAAAAAATATTTATCTGCATGAGAAGATATAAATTTGAAAGCATATATATAAGAACATTATGCCGTGTCTCAATTTCATTGCTTTCACATAGTTAACTTTTAAAGTTGAACTTGAAAGAAACGAATTGCAATTTTATGATATCTAATGTTATGTGTTATTTGACTTCTATTGAATAAAAAATAACTTAACAAAATTAAATCTTACTTTCATCAATGAGTTTTTGTTGTCTATATTGTAAAACCATGTAAAATTTTTCAACATAATATAAAGTTCGTCAAGATAAAAGTAAATCATACTTAAAACATAATTATAGTTTTCATATAAATCATACTTATGATTTTATTTGAATGTATCAGTTGAAAATAACACATATCATCAATGTTTATGTATATTGTGATATTTTTCACTTCATAGATCCATGAAGAATGGTACAAATAGAGGTAATGAAATCTAATTTGTTGTATTTTTTCAAGGAATTATTTAAAAAATTTAAAATCTTATTTGGATTTCTTCCATGATAAAATTCATTTGTTTTTGTAGAGTGTTAATTTTCTTTGACATTAATTTTACATAATTTAAAAAAAATGAATTTCTGCTATTTACATTGTGTGATTATTTTAAACTATTTTTTGAGATTAAAAACTCTGAAAACTATATATTCTCAATTTAAAAAATTTTAATAATGAGAAAATAAAAAAATGACTAAATTTTTTAACAAATATCTACAATGATTTAAAATCAAAAAAATTAAACTTAAAATAAATAGTAAAAAAAACAATACAATTTTCTTATATTATCATTATATAGATTTAATTGAAATCATTCATTTTTATTAGATTAGAATAATGATAATATAATTATAATTTATAATATGTTTTATTGAGCGTATATATTATTTTAAATATTGGATATTTTAACAACTTAAGAAAAATGTTACAATTTAATCTCTTATATTTGAAATTTTAGATAATATGTTCGCTTTAATGAAATGATTTACACCTTGAAATGCGATTGTTATGTTAACTCTATTTTGGAATCACTCCGGTTAGTGATAACCATGGTTAGGAAATTAATTGTGGTTAGATTAGTTAATATGTGTGCCTTATCTCTTCTTTTATAGAAGAGAGTAGTAGACACTCACTGCCTACTGTTCAGGATGGCACTGAGAGAGTGAACAGGAAGGAAGAGAGCTTGGCTATGGAGTCCGTGAATACATCTATGCTTTAGTGAAGTTTCGGCTCTTGGCCGTTCGACGTAATATGTGGAAGGTGAACCACATTATCTAGGTGTTGTGACTGTAGTGCGTGCTAATAGATCTGGATTATAAGGCCTTTCAGTGATTTCAAATTAATTTTCATAAAATATAAATTCTTTTGGAATAATAATGTGTAATAAAATATAGTAAAAAATTCCTAGTATTTGCTTTTTCTAAAAGGAGATTGTGTATAAGTGTCAAAAAATTTGTAAAATAAATGGTAAGATTTATAACTTATTTTCATAAATTCAATACACATATTTGCAATTATAAATTATGGTTTTTTAATAAAATTCATGGATTAAAAGAATGAATATATATATATACACATACATTTCATTGTTGCATTCATTCAAGTTTTTGTTTTTGACACATCTGAATGAATGAAAATCACACATCATTAGTCTTGCAATAAAAATTTGATATAGTTGAATCATAGAAAATCTAACCAATTTTTTAATAGCTAATGCCTGATAGTATAAGATCTTAATATTGATTAATTGGAAATTTTGTTTTTATATAAGACATGTTGAGAACAAAATGAAGTTCAAGAAATGTCAATATCCAAAAGGAAAAATGTGAATCTAGTAATAACGAATAAACATATGTCTCGTACATTGCATGATAAAACACTCATGTAAATCTTCCTATCCAATTCTGCGTGTAGACATTATTACATATTAACTTATTTCTGATAAGTTTAGTTTCTTGTCTATTTATGATTGCACGACCCCCACATAACTATTCAAACTATCTTGAAGGTAAATCCTTCCCAGAGCCAAGGGGATTGAAGACATGTGTTTACAGTATAGCAAATCTCCATACTTCTGATGCTTTCTAAATGAACTACTACGAACATCAATAACAATATAGGCATTCTGCTCGATTGGTGATAATCACATCCATCTTAAAATTCTATCGTCACAGGTCACATAAAAATTGACTAGCACATAACATACTATCATTTTCTCCACTTACAGTTCACTTATAGTTCTGAGTATCGAACGAGTGCATGCACATCATGGCATCACGCACGGCTATCCTTGTACCAAAGAAAGCGACAGTCTTGGTGTGCATCTGATGTGACTAATAATTAAAATAAATGAGCACTTTTGGGGAAATGCTTGGATCAATCCTTGTATAACGATATGTAATGTGTAAGTATGTAACGAAAATAATACTTAAAAAAATAAAATACCTGGATAAATGACTCACAAATAACAATGTTGTTTTACTGATTCAAAGAGCTCATAGCAATAGTGGACTCAGTACAGCCTATTTGAAATTCGGAGGACTTTAGACGAGAGTACTGAATCAAATTAAGACTAACACACGTAGAGCTGAAAATGTTCTAAACATTGAATTTTTGAAAGAAGTCCACCTCTGTGACCGGTGAGTCATTCAAGTCTACGGGACTCTGCCGGTAGACAGCATTGGTTGCCGTCGCCTGTAGACCGGGTACCAGTACTCTGCCGGTGGTGATTGCCAGACGACAAAGGAAGGACGACAGTGAAGCCTTGAACATGAAATTAGTGCATCCATTTGGCAAATCAAGGAAAAGTAAACATCCGATCTAGGGAAGAGTATCGGTCGTGGCAGAGGAGTCTGGCGGTGGATCGTTTTTCTTCGAGTTTTCGGGGACTGTGATTTGATCGATGGCACGAAAGATCTTGCGGGCGAAGATGTGAAATCTTGTTCTGCGCATACTTACGCGTCACGCATCTACGGATCTAGCAGTCAGGTGAAGAACGTGGTGGAATCCATCGCCGGAGAGTTGCGTCTTCTTTCTGCGCTTCTGTCGACCTCGCGACGTCACAATGCTTCACTGCATGTTTCTCCTCTCTGATGTTGGGTACATCTGTTTGCCCTTCTACTCATTCTGTTTCAGAAGTCTCACGTGCACCTTCTACTTTCAGTAATGAGGGTGGCCCTAGAGCCGGTATCAGAGGAACACATTCAAGTGTATCTTTGGTTTCCTGTAATGTTCTCGGACTCTCACATTTTCGATTCTGTCGATGTCCTTGCTGTGAGCATGCGTCTTTTCCTCGAGTCGGACTTCAGGGGTCCTACGCTTTCGCAGTGGAGAAGCGGTAGTTGCTGTGCTTCGTAATTGCATGAAATTTGGTTTCAAATTGGACCAAAGTCTTCTGCACCCCGCTACACTTCAGGGAATGTGACATAGCTGTTCTTGCTGCTCCTTTCGCTGATGGAGTGCGACGTGGATACGAGGAGAGTCAGCATCAGAACCTCAACAGCCAACAAGAGGGAACGTTGTACCATGTAGCTGAAATTTGTCCTGGAGAAACCTCTCCTTTGAGGACCGTGTTGCATACTTATTGGACTTTGTAATTTGATGAATGTCTTTTCGTCTGTTTGTTTTTGGGCAGGGAAGTAATGCTGGAGAAACAATGGATGGGACAGCAGGTAGATCGTTCTATTTGCACTTGGTTCTGGACACAGGCACATCCCCCAGGCCACGACGAATTTGTAAGTCATTCATGCCAACTGTTTGTATTCGTACTATAGCTCGCCTAAAGCGCAATAAGGAATAAGGATTTCAATCATACGGTACTTTCCACCCGATACAGGGACATCATTTTGTTGTATGGAATGTCGGTGCTTGTTCTGCATACTCTCGTGATTCAGTTCCGTTTTTCCTTGGAGGTTTTCAGTGAATTACACGCAGAGTTAACTCGGTGCTCCCGAACTCTAAGTAGCCTCCTAATCTTACAGGGCCCTCCCAGAGTACCAGCTGTCATAGCATCACCAACGTATTATCTCATCAGCATAGTTCGAGAAGGCGTTACGTTCCTGGCCTGTACACTGTCCGAGATGCAACCTTTGCTTGGCATTGAGGTGATTTTGTACATGCACTCAAATCTCTGACATACTATCATGTATTTCGACTGTCTGGTGGGTTTTGTTCTTCACACACGACTGCATATATAGGGGAAGAATATTCATACTAGGGGTCAATTTTAATTTCAGTTCAAAGAACGCGCCTCCTTGCCTTGTGCGACTTGTCCTCACTTTCAGACAGCACAATGGCATCTGCATGATGATTATACTCTCAGGATCAAACATCTGATTCTTCAGTTGCTGATGGATGCCGAAGTTTCTTTGCAGGGTTGCTGATGTCTTGGCAGAGTACTTCGGAGGCCTTAATGAGGATCTCATCAAAGATAACTACGTCCTTGTTTATCAGGTATAGCATTTCATATTCGGTGTATCATTTATGGCTATGTCATGTAGCAGTGTCCTACAGAAGGGTAAGTATCGATTGCTCATGAACTTTTTGTCACCATGTGTTGGACGTGGATTTTAATTAGCCTTTGTAACTCTTCTCAGATTTGATAAATTGTGTCCTCAGCCGATTTCACATTCTTCTGTACATGTAGAAGAAGTTCTAGATGTACGAGAAGCAGTGAGTTCAAATCGTTGTATCTTCATTTCATTCCGGCTATATGGATTACATTCTGGATTCCACTGCTTTCTTTGCCAGTTGCGAGGCGAATTATTTCATTGTCACTTATAAACTGTTGACGTTTGTGGTGACCAGCTTCTAGACGAGATGATGGACAGCGGGTTTCCTCTCACCACCGAGCCCAGCATATTGAAAGAGATGATTGCTCCGCCAAACTTTGTGAGTAGGGTTCTGAGTGTCGTAACTGGGGGTTCATCAAGCATGAGTAGCACTCTGCCGACAGCAGCCTCTTCAAACGTGCCGTGGCGAGCACTTGGAATCAAGCATACAAACAATGAGATATACTTTGATCTGGTTGAAGAGGTGGATGCGATTGTAAACAAGTAAGTCAACTCTATTTGTGCACTCCAGAACTTCTCGTAAAGAGCTGATGCCGCAGGGTTGAGGTCATTGAATACCTTTATTTACTCCGTATATGTTCTTATCGAGGGCAGGGAAAAAGGTCATATACAATCTATGACTGGGTTCTTTCTTATCTCATCTATGCTGGTCCTCGAAAGCTAAGAATTTGAGTTCTGATTTTTGATAAACTTAAAGAACAGATTAGGCATTTCTTGCAGAAGTTCACTATGGAATACAATATGCCGTGGTCTTCGCTATATCTGAAACATGACATCCTGCACTTGTTCTGTTGGTCTCAGTACCTAGGTCATTTCTATGTAAGGGCATCACTTGTTGAAACCTTAGGAAGGGGTTAAACTCGGCAGTTGATCTGATGGGAATATATAATGTATGATGCAGGGATGGATTTCTGGTCAAATGTCAAGTTTATGGGGAGGTGCAGGGAAATTCTCGGTTGTCAGGAATGCCAGACCTTACTCTGAATTTCACGAATCCATCTATCATCAGTGATGTGAGGTTCCATCCATGCGTACGTTACCAGGACTGGGAAGCCCGTCAGCATCTTAAATTTATACCTCCTGATGGACAGTTCAAGCTTATGAGCTACAGGTCAGTTATTCCATTCCATACAGTTTCCATACGCTAGAGATATAGAGTTGCCTGTGTATCTGGAAATCTTGAGATTACTACCTAATCCACCGATGCAGGCTTTGTATCCTAGGGTTAAGTAATTGTGTGGATAAATAAACTGAGCAGCTCATTCTCTAGTACATGTTTGCATCTTAGTCAGGATTGACAGAGTCTTCTTCAGAGTCTTACAGCGGCAGAGTTCTCAGATGCCAATCTGGGAACTGTATAGGCGAATTGATCAGAACCTAGTGAAATATGTGATAAAATCATGTTTTTACCAAAATGTAGTTTCCAGTACGTCTTTCATCAGGTTATAGACCATCGCTTCTGTTCTGCATTTCTTCTGATAATCATAAAGTGTGAACTCGCGGAATTTTTACAGGGTCAAAGGCTTAGAAAATACTCCGCTTTACGTGAAGCCTCAGTTGAGTTGCAGTGAAGGTGTGGTTCGAGTGAATATACTAGTGGGTATCCGGATCGACCCTGGTAGGACGATAGAGAACATCGTTGTCGATGTACCATGGCCACCTACGGTCACTACGGCTGAATTGACTGCCAACCATGGCACTGTACTTTTCAACAGTAGCACCAAGGTGAGGGAATTGATATTTTTCTTGTTGGCGATCTGTAGTCAATAATTCCGTTCTTGTGTCGACCATGAGGTCGACAGAATGCAAAGGAGCTGAGACGTGGTGATCATTGCTTCAAAGTAGCTAATGACTCTGCACAATCCATGAAAGTGGTTTCCATGCTAATGTGAAGTTCAAAGATGAGGAAGCAGACGTGTTTTGGTCCTGAACGCCTAGAATTGCGATGTGTGCAAATTCTATTTGATGAGATTGACTAACTTGTCAAATAAAACTTCGTGCAGGTATGTACTTGGACAATTGGCAGGATTCCTAAGGATAAGTCTCCATGTCTGACTGGTTCCGTGAACCTAGAAGCAGGCTTGGATCGGTTGCATGAATTTCCTACCATATTGGTTGGATTCAAAATAATGGGTGTAGCACTCTCAGGCTTGAAAGTTGATAAGCTGGAATATGATAACATAGCGTACCGTGTTTACAAAGGGTTTAGAGCTGTCACCAAAGCCACCTGTTATGAGATAAGAACTTGAATACGATGTACATAATCAATTGGTACTCATAAGAGAGTACCCTAGCAGGAGAAATACCTGCTATTTGAACACGGTTTGTGATTATGTTATAAAATATATGCACACATTGAAGCCATCGAAGAACTCACTGAAGTCATCATCAGTATAGAGCTCAGTTTTAGGGTATACATTATTGAGACGCCATATTATCAAATGGGAGAGGGATATGTTTGGTCAGAAATCTCAGTATGTGTCCAAAGGAGTTGCGGTAGGAGGCCTGCAACTCGCTGCAACTAACCATTCTCTGAATTTTGCACGGGATTCTACCGGGGAAAAACCCCGACACCGCATAGTGGAGAATTACTCAGAGCAAGAGTACACGAGTGGACGAGATAGTATTGATAGTGAATGACGTTGTATCATCAGTTTTGGAAAATAACGACCGTTGGGTAGGAACACAATACTGTTTACGGTAAGAGGCCTTATATCATTTCGTGCCATGATATGGAAATAAGACATGGTTCGTTCAACGGACAGGTACCCAAAAGGAGAAGGTTTCATGTTAAAACTACAATAGCAGCTTCAATAGGCAGCCCAGGCGACGAAAGTAGCGGTCCTTTTGTAGCACAGGCTCGAATTAGGGAGAAGCCCATTATTAGACAAATCCTCCGTCTTCTTCTCATGCTGGGCTGACGCTTTCTTGAGTAATTTGGTCATGGTCTGGCAGTTCCATCACCTGGCCTGCTTGACTGGAATCACTCTGACATAATATGATTGGTACCATCAGGCATAGAGATGAACAGGGTGACATCCTCCGTCCGTCTGTGTTCCACATTCACAGTTTGTGGCAGGATCCACACACATTTTTCCATCTCTACAATGATTATCAGAACTCACGTCCGCTGGGCACTCGCATGTGCAGAAGAAGTTGTAAGACATCCATCCTTTACACTATCGAACGACGAGTTAACGCATTTTCCATCTCTACAATGATCACCAGAACTCACGTCCGCTGGGCACTCGCTTGTGCAGAAGTTGTAAGACATCCATCCTTCATATTATTGAACAACGAATTAACGATGGGAATGTGTGTGGACCACAACATGCGAGGAGTTGCCAAAAAACGCCAGTTCTGAGACATAAGAGACGTTTCATGGACTTTCATAAATATCGGTTACAAATCAGATCTCCTATTGATTCCTACAGTGATGAATACCTTCGGCCCTCAACACCTGCACACCATTTCATGTGGATTCACTTCCAATAATCTGCCCTTCAACCCATGTGAAAGAAGTCGGGATACGGCGGGAGATTTGGGCAAGGTGCAGGACCTCCAATCTTTTTTCAAAAAACAAACACTGCAATCCACTGTCGTCTGTAGGGTTATGTACATCTACTTCACTTTACGCTCCCCTTGCTCTTGGCCTAGGCCGATTGATCTTTGAACATTCTGGATACCTCTTGGATCTGCATGATTAAAGCAGGAGCGTTAGAATCAACTGATCTAAATACAATTCCGAGATCGATAACTCCAGGTGAAGTAGGGGTTCATCTCACGACTTTAACGCGTCGTACCACAACTGAAGGTAGTAGAGGTCTACTACGCAAGTAAGCCAATTCTTATTAATCAAAGACTTACCAAAGAACTGTGTAAAGATGCGGGTCAAAAACCCAAAGTTGTGAGCCAAAGTGTTGGCAATCGGTCGAGGAAGCGGCTTGAACAGCGTGTCGAAGCTAAATACTCTCCTTATAAACTGTCACGTACGAAATATTGAAGTCAACAGAGAGTCCCACGACTTGTGCAAGTGATATGATCAAAACCCTCTTATGGTGGGATCGGAGAAGTCAGTCACTGTCATCTAGAAATGCATAAGTCACAAAGACCTTCCGATCCGAGTGACGCAGAAATCCTCGAGATTTTGTCCGGAACAAACGTCCTCACTTCATCGGAAGGAAACACACGATGCCTAAACCCTGGGCTCCTGATCTGCCATTAAGTTACTGGAGATGGTTAAAGGAGGAATGGTTGGAATTGGAGTTAAGGCGAGCATATTCTATAATCTTTCGCAGTGCGATATTGCTGACAACACTCGGTATTGGTATGAGAACATACTGGCTTTACTTCAGTTCTCACCAAAAATAACGTCTGACATACAAATAAATTGCGTACCCTAGAAGTGGCCAGCCTTTCGGGGGAATGGCAGCACACGTCATCTGTGGGAAAAAATGCTTTGGCACTAGTGTGTTAACATCACTCGTGCACAAATTAGTGAATGGGAAAGGAACAGGCTGAGTTGCCGAGTTAAGTTCGGTATTTCTAATCCTTTGCGTCTTCAACCCTACCGGGAGAAACACTGACACAAGAGTCTGAAGCCCGTGAGAAATTCAAATCACTGCTTCCTTCCGTGAATCGCTTCCTTCCTCGACTACTACGGTAACTGGACGGTTTGCAGGATCACTCACGTTGAGGAGATCGACGCCAAAGCTTTTGACAACTAACGAGAATTTACATGGCTCGGAGAAACGACAGAAAAATCTCTCAACGTGAAGACGCATATAAAACCCATCGACTTTCTTGGATGATCTAATCCACTTTCTACGACTTGAATTTCACGACGTGAGCTGACAACAACCCGGGAGCATAATGCGATGAGATCCCTTTTGAGTGAGCTGACAACAACCCGGGAGCATAATGCGATGAGATCCCTTTTGAATGAACACGCTGAGCATTGACGGTAACATCAACACTATTAAAACCTTCAAATTTCACCTCGAAATTGAACCCGAGCCGCCACAACAAAAGCCAGGGATGGAACCTAGACACAGGCCAGAAACAGACGAACGAATTTTCGCCGACACCAATTCACTCACCTGGAAATTTCTTTGAAACGCCATCTTGAGCTGCGGGTCCAGCTCGAACATGCTGTCCTTCTCGGGGTCATTCCTGAGGCCGGTGCCAGCGGGCGGCGCGTACATCATCTTACCCTTGCCGCCGGGATCATTGGTGGCTTTCATCGACAGCGCACTGTGCTTCAACTCCTTGGGCTTGGCCGGCTGACGCCATGGCGGCACCGAGGTCTCGCTGGTGCTGGCGCCGACCTTCTCATCCTTGGTGGTCGGTTTTTGCCTCCACGGAGGAGCTGATCCCCTCGGCATTCTGATTCACACCAATTTCCCACCAACACCAACACCAAACCCCAGGCCCAAATCCGCCCGAGTGCAAAACCCCTGCTCTTGCAGCTGCTGCGGATAAAGTGCGCGGATCCTTACGAGCTCGCCCCCGCCCCCGTCCAAATCCAGATGCTGCTCCGTGCCCGTGCCCGTGCGCGTGCGCAGCGATCGTCCCTCGGCACTGGCCTCCAAACAAACAAACTCACCTCGTCCCCATCCCGCGACATCAGATAAGGTCGGCTTTTCATGCTCTTCCGCCTCGTCTTCAGACGTAACCTCGATTACCGTTCCTTAATCACGATTATTGATCGGACCCGTGGTTAGCCAGCATTCGGAATGTCCATGGACAACTTGCCGGCCTCGTCGGGAATCTCGGAGGCGGTGGTGGTTGCTTTTGATAGTTAGGTCCCGTTGTCGATGTGGCAATTGTATTCCACATTCAAATTACACAAATATTCAAATACAAGAAGATATAGAACATCCTATGAACAATGAATCAAGAGATATACTCACTATATTTCTTGCCACATTATTAGCCATATATTATCCAAACTTGACTATAAAACCCACAATGTAGCAAAAAATAACGTTCAACGATGACAATTAAAAAAATATACTACTCTAACAATAACAAAAAAAAATCCAAGAATTTGAAATTATTTATTTAATTTTTCTTCAATTTCAGTTTTATTTTTAATCAATCCAAAGTAAATTACTTAGTATAGATATTTTAGTTGCATTTATATTTCCAGTCTCATAATTGATTATAAATTCTCACATACACTTTTATTATGATCTTTGCTACTTGATCTTTTGCTATTTGATCATGATGTTCACAATTTCTTTCGGAAGGAAATTGATACATTTTTAGTTTTAAAATCTATATGAATCTTTAGTAAGTCCATTTAACACAATATTGAATCAACTAATTTGTCAAATGTTAAATCCTCTCATAATTTGAATCTATTATGAATAATCCATGCCTATGTATAGTATACTAAATAATGTGTTCTATATATCCTGTAACATTGAATGCTAGATTTTTTTTTATTGTCAAAAGATGAAGTTTAAATTCTAAGATAAACCTCTTTCATTTATATGATTCTATGGAGAGATATTTGCTTGATGGTATCCATCAAGAATAAATTTGTTTGATGATACACATAAAGTTTCGTTTTATCCGATGGGATCCCAACGATGTCACATGTGAGACTGCTCTAGTATGAACAGACATTTCTAGAATGAAAAAAAATCACTCAATTATGCACGATTATACTTTCCCTAATGACTTATGGTTCAATTCTAGATGTTTATACAAATTGTTTGAATTTGAATGCACTAAAAATTGAAGAATATGATATTTTAAATTCTAGAATCAATTTTACTAATTTAAAGAATATATACAAAGAATGAAAAATAAATAAACTTAAAAATTGAAATAAAATCAATAATAAATATGAAAAGGTTTGTACAAAATCAGGATATAATTTCTATATCCTGATAAAAATTACGAAAATATAAAATTTTAAAATATAAATAAAAAAATTTATCGAAAAAATTGCAGTAAATTCTGAATCAAAAATCTATTTAATGTATAGAACACAATATCTAAAAATGAGAATAAATGAAATAAATTTTAATATTAAATTTTAAAAATAATAATTTAACACTAATAAATTATAAAACTAATGTCTATATATTTTGCCTTAATTATTCTAAAACTCATAATAGTGTAAAATCTATATATTTTTAAATAATTTTAAATTTTATTTTGCAATGATAGAGAATTTTATAATTCAATTAAAAATAGTAATAAATTTGATAAACATGAGTTAAAGTTTTCCATAACCATTTCTTGTATTATTGAAATATATCAAAGATTTGGAAGAATTAAAAATGATGAAAGATTGGAACAATTATTGTAACTGTAAATATTATTCAGATCTAAGATCTAAACCATTCAAGATTAACTTTAGTATGTATGTAACGTCTGGAATAAATATTAGTAAGATCTAACGGTCCGATTTGATTTTTGAACTTTGCTAAGTTTGTAAATTCTAAACTAGTGGAAGAATATGTAATATAGATAACTAAGCATGAAGTATATGCAGATAAAGTCATAAGAAATACACTTAAAATTGAATTAAATATTAATTTAAATAATTTATATATAATTAAACTCATCTGAAACCATTGATGACGTGTAATTTATATTCTAGAATTTATTGGTTATTTTAAAAAATAGATAGATTATTTTTATCTCATTTGTTATATTTTGACTCAATTTTCATACAATCCTGATATTTTGATCCCATCCAGATAATGAAATTTATATCTACTGATAGTTGTAAAAGAAATGTTTCAATTTGGAACTATATTTCTAAAATTAAAAATGAAAAAAGATTTTTTTAAAGAAAAAAACCTAAAATATAATTTAGAGAATAGAAAAAACAATCCCAATAATTTTCATACATTACATATAAAAGAAGAAAAATATTCAAGAACTAATATGCAAGAAATGAAACCTTGGAACATATAATTCATATTCCGTCTTCCTTTCCCCGAAAGGAGAGTTGGGATCCAGATCGCGCCGATGGCGTCTGGAAAGAGACTACCTCCTCCCACGTCCTCCTCCTCGGGGCCCAACAATCCAACAATCCCTAGGCCAACAATTCGAGAAATGTAGAACAGTATGTGAGAATCTTGCTCCACGATCGCGACGACATCAGCGGGAGTTCCGACGAGCCACAGCGAGTTGCAATTTGTGGTGCCGAAATTTGTGGAAGAAGTTCGGAGACTCCAGACAAAGAGATGCGGTAGTCGAACAGTACTGAGTGTGACAGAGTAGAGGGGAGGAAAAGGGAAGGAGGTTGGGGCATTCTGCGAGGTAGAAGGTCCAAATCGACCATGCGCCGCGGATGGAGTGTCAAGGAGTGACGAATCGTCGATGAACCTCAGCGGGCTCCGTCGATGGTAATGCGAAATCTCATGTTCATGGTACCAGAGAAGATAGAGCAGAAATTTACGTCAGAGCTTGCATTTTCAGTTCGTCTCGCATCAATCGGTCGGTGCGGTGAAAGTGGTTCTCGCTCAGAGTGACGAGCGAGAGAAACGCTGATCGGTAGATACCGGAGAGAGGCACAACTTGGATAGTGAAAAACAAGAATATATCCTTATAAGTACACGTATTAAAATATATTGTTACAAGAACATATTATTAAAATAACAAAAACAAAAACAAATTCAAGAACATATTCATAATAGAACATTTACTAGAGGTCATCTATGACACACCAATTGTGGAGTACCATCGGGTAAAATGAAACTTGATGGGTTCCATCAATCAAATATGTTCTTGATGGGCTCCCATCAAGCAAATATCTTTTCTATGGATCATATTTAGGAGTTTTAAAACATATATTAATTTTACAAAATAAAACTTTTTTGTCAAAAGATCTTGATGAAAACAATTTTTTCATGCTTTTAATTGTTGATAAGAATGTTTCTTAAATAAAAAATATCAAAATAAAATTATAAAATTTTTATATATATATATTTAGATTTTATGAATGAAGTATTTTGTATTCACAAAATTTCAATACGATTTCATATATTATTTGCTATGAGAAATTTGCTTGATGGGCCCCATCAGAACATTGATTTGATGGGAACCTTGAAGTTCCATTTTACCCGATGGGACCCTTCCGACGGCAATTCAGTCAACCGTCACCGATGCTCTACTGCGAGTTCTTGTAATTCCTTTCAATCCGGGTTAGGAAAAGCACTGAGGCTCTTTGTTGAAAAGTGAAATGCACTTCACGGAACAAATACGCAACTGACATGATTTCGACCAAGAGTTTTAGAAAAAAAGAGTAAGGAGTGAGTAGATTATGCCTATAACTGTAAAATCATTATGGGACGTGAGAAATTGGGCTCTTCCACAATGAAGATTGGGAGCCATGGAAAATCTGACTAACTTAAATTGGGGAAGAAATTATTATTTTTTTCATTGAAGTGGAAACAAATCAGTTACAAGAACATAACTGACAGTGACCCGTCGGAGGGGTACCATCGGGTAAAATGGAACTTATTGGATCCCATCACGCAGTCAGGGTTCTGATGGGGTCCCATCAAGCAAATTTCTCTATTTTTTGTAGATCAAATTAAATTAATATTCATTAAAATCTTTAAAAAGTTAGTTTTGAGTAATTTTAAATTTATGGTATGAATGTATGACTAAAGATATCTTAAACTAAGGCTTGCAATCCAAATTTATTTTATATCTAGTTTCAAACAAATTTCTGATTTTCAGTCATTTTATTTTTTGTCATAAATTTTAAAATAATATATAAATGGTTAAAATATTGACTGATTAATAAAATAAAATAAATTTTATTTTATTTTATTAAAAATTTTTATTATATAAATCGATATACAAATAAATAAATAAATAAATAATTTCTTTCGATATTTTTATATTTTTATATTTTTCATAAACAATAATTATTCATTAAAAATTTTACAAATGCAAAACTGAAAAAAATTAATATATTCATAGACTTTAGATTAATTTCAATTCACATGCGATGAAAGTATGTATCATATTTAGTCTCAAAATTTCAAATTTTCTCTGTAAGTTTGTATGTATTTTTTATTGTAATTGTATTAAAAATGAATTGTTAGAATGAATAGAATTCTCAGGTGAAATTAAATCTATATATGATTATGACTTTTCATTCGAAGTCCTGAAAATAATGGTTATTTTAGTTTTCATTATATTCAATCAATTGATTACAACTTTAATGTGTTGACAAATTTCATATATTTAACAATGTAATATTTCAAGTCGTATGTTTCACGTCGACTATCTTTACAATCGGATTGGAAGACATTATTAACATGAAATGGTTCTAACCATGCTTGTTTTAAACTTATGTATGTGCATTTAATATATTTTATTTACTGTCATATTTTTTACAACTTACATTTATTAGTTTTAATTTACCAACTCATCCGACAGAGAGAGTCCATTATAATGGATATATATTTTTTCAATTCATTTTGTACAATCAGTTTTCACGACATTTCTCTTCTTTTACTCAGGGGGTTGTGCTTCAGTTTCAAAACATTCTTCCATCTTCATTCAAAAGTGGTTTTATGTATCTCATACTGGGTTACGTGACCAGGGGTGGCTCTAGACACTAGTCTTCACTATCTTTTTCATAGATTATACAAATCATGCATTTTATAGAGCGTTGTTCAGCTTTCAGAAATTTCCTACTTCAAGGGAACTCATCTTGCTTTTGTTCCCTAGTCTCGATTTGGATCCGGCATGCTTTGTCAAGGACTAATTTGATTGCTGCTTTGCAACTCGTTACTCTGCTAAACGGCACAGGCTGGGCCATGCAAGGTGGAAGAAAAGATGGCACTAATTCCCTCGGCTCCAGAGCCGAAGCCGAGCTGCCATCGCCGGAGTTCGACGTGTCTCAGCTCATAGATTCTTTTGCTCGGATGGGATTATCGGCCAAGCAGATGGTGGTACTGTCCGGCTCGCACACCGTGGAGTGGGATTTTGCGACAAATTCGTTTCGCGCCTCTACAACTTCAACTCGACCTTCTCCACGGGTCCCTCGATGGACCCTGCATATGCCACGGAGCTCAAGAACATTTGCCCCAGCACACTTTCAACACCTCCATCGAAGTGTTCATGGATGTTATCACCCCCACATCTGCAGGTGTGTTCGAGGCCAACTACTACAAGACGACGCTGCAGGAGCACAAGGGCCTCTTAACATCGGACCAGTCGCTCTTCGACGATTCGCGCACAAGGGCCATGGTGACATCGCTGCTGAATAAACGTCGATTCCAGAAGGAGTTCGGAAAGGCTATGCGTGCTATGGGAGCAGTAGGAGTGAAAACCGTGGGCCAGATTCGCACCAACTGCAGGGCGGTGAACGCACAGTAGATGATGCCGAGTTGCTGTTCTTGAGACTTGTGGAGAAGTTGACTTCGACTCCTTTGCGGCGGAGAGCGAGTGAGAATGGGCCGTATGCTTTCCCTTTTCATGTCTATAAATTCTTCAATAGTGAATCAATAAAACATTCTGGTTTTTCGTCTATCTGGTACCGTAATCCTGGAGTTTGAGAACTTTACGGGTTAGGAACAAAAGTAACATTTTCAAGGATATCGCAAGGGCTCTGATAAAGGAGAGGACAATTGTTCGTTGACATGATTTTGGTGTTGTGAGAAACAGAAGTCATCGCCATCTACATTTCATATGAACCTTAACCAGTTCTAGTCTCTCAAGCATGAAGAATCTTTCTTCGAATCGCAAGGTCAAAGTGATTGCATAACTTTCAGATCAAAGGGGAATCCATAGGTCCAGAAGAGTTCCGTTCTCTACGTCTTAGAATTGAATGTGGAGTTTCCATCTTCCTGTTACCGTCCCTACTTCACCCCAAACATTCAAATGATTTTAGATGATGAATGTTATTATAATCAGAAAAATGAATGGTTGTTTGGGAAGTTGCAACTCAAGGGAAAATCGTCTTCATAGGCCTATATGGTGTTAAGTCGTAACGTACCTTCATCAATGAAAATTGTGCTGGGAATTTAATGTACCGGTTGAAACAAATAAAGGGGTTCTTGATAGAGACAAAGTCTCTGCATCAGGTACAACTTGAATTATGAAACAAATTGAATAATCTCAGTCAATGTAGAGGCACATACCACATAAAACACATGTAGAATAGTTTTGTTAAAAGGAATAAGACAATGGTAGATGTGACAGCTAGAGACGAAGAGTTTGGATTCCTTGAATGAGATGAACTAAGCGCATAAGATTGAAGTATATAGTTTAAAGAAAAAGGGAAGGTTTGTTATCCCTCACTCTATTATTGGTCGATGCAGTAACAACTATAGGGTGTTGACCAATCAGATAACAACATATAGTATGGTGAGGGCTAATTAACTCTAAATGTAATATAACTAGCCATTCCCAAAGAAAAAGCTCTGAGTCTAGTTAATAAAATAATAACGTGAATACTACTAGGTCATGAAAGTCATAGCACCAAAAGAAGAATGGGTTGTATGAAACCTATCTTTCCGTGGTCAGTAATTGAATGTTGTGGTTATTCTATTTACCGGTGGAGAAATACGATGGCCAGGTTTATATAAGCCTGTTTCTCCGGGAAATAAATGTCATGGAATATTACTAGCATTTCTATATTAGTCATGCTTTGGACATGCCTAATGCTCATGGAGTTACCAATAGTAAGTTTGTGACTTTTAACACTTTGTATCATGTTACACTATTTAGTTTACAAAGATACCTTAAATATACATATAACTTGAAAACAAAAAATGAATCAATATTAAAAGAACAAGCTTCATGAAATTTAAATTAAATCCCTACGTTTTCAAAGGTGAATTCTTGAGGATTTGACATATACGTAATTATTTTGTCCGTAATTAGAGTAATATTCGGTTTTGTATACATCGTCAAATACATGAGAGAGATCACAATTTTGTGATCAAAGATTGATGATATATTTTATATTTTTTATCAAATTGAACATTGAGTTGCGGAGAATTTCAAGTGTTCAATCAATTGGAACCATATTATTTTGAAATCTATCATTTTCAATCTGTTGAGCACATGTTTAACGTATTTTTCTTGATTCTTCTTGACTTGATTGAATTAGGTTGAATTTTGTTAATAGATTATATATATACATATATATATATATATCTTTGATATACTTATAGACTTTTTAAATATATTTTTAATGCAACATTAGCTGGTTCTTGCATATGTCAAAATAAGATTGATTATTAGAAAAATTGAACTTATCATTTACATGGATTTTTAATTTTATGACTTTGATTTTCCATATGCACACCAGATGCAACTTCAAGGCACGTAGAGAGCTCTGCTGGACAGACACTATTATAGCAAAAAGTAACCTAGCTGTCATTGACACCAACAAATGTATCCTGCACGGAGCTAAGAGCCAAAAATCAGTTGTTCCTGGGTATTGACATTCTCAGAAAACCTGATCCCAACACTGAGGTGAAAGAGAGCTGCACCAAAACTAAAAGCAATGAGTTTATTATCTTGCATTCCAGCATTATCCAGCATGCTAGAAGGTACAGGATTACAAAACAAATAGAGAAATTAGCATTGCATGATCGCGTGTCTCTCGAGCAGTATGGAGGTTCTACCCGCAGCTGGAAACGGAAAGACCTTGATACTTCTAAAGAAGACGACGTAACTTCTGAAGAGTCCTGCTGGGAAGTGTTCACAATCTCTGAGAACACAGTTTCTGCTTCTTCTCCTCCGCGTACAGACGAAGTTTGCACTCGGCTAGCTCTGCATGCTTACGGGCTATGAGACACTCCAGCTGCAGCACGTTGGCCGCCAGACTATCGGCCAACGACGAGCACTCTGGCAAATCAATCATGAAGGATTCTTCGTCCTCATCAGACAGGTCTTTCCTCTTCTCTCTGGTGACCTGCGTATAGAGTTTAAATTTCGTGCGGCTCGTGGGGGTTCTAGGTCCTAAAGCTTTCTCCTCCTTGGCTTGGTCCTTCTGATCTGCAACCCCCGACCTCGATCCATGTTCCTCTTTGGACCCATCTTCGATTTTAGCATCGATCACCTTTCCCTCCCGGTAATGCACTACGGTTCCGCTAAGGTCTGCCAACGCTTCTGCTTTCAGTTTGGCATGAATGTACAAAAAGCACATCACCGGACCAGCCACAGTTTTCGACACTCTGATCAAGCCGTCAGAGAGATCTTGTGACTGGGCGTGCAGTCTGCCCAATTCAGTGAGGAATTTTGTGTGCAGGATTTTACTCCATCGAAACTTCTTGCCGGCCATAGCTTCGGTGACGTAAGTCATCAAGTCGAGTGGAACGCGTTTGAGTTCTGTTGTTTTCATCCACACAGTTTCGCTCAACAGGAACAGAAGATCTCGGAGCACCGGATCGTCCATCGAAGCCACCAACTGCTTGTTACTGCCGTCTCTTCTCTTCGCTGTAACTTCAAAACATGCTTCAGATCTGCTGCCGTTGGTTCCATGCTTAGGGTCTTCTGGAGCCATTGCACTTTCCTCGGCGAGCAATCCGGTCACCATAACGAAGGACTGGAGGCTGACATCGATCTCTGTATTATTGACCACGGTCTTCTTGTCTTGACCATTCCAGTTGTGCACGAACTCGTCACAGATCTCCACCTTCTGCCACTTCCAGACCGTGCGCATGAAGTCAAAGAGACCTATCTTCGTCAGCGCCTCAAAGATCTGCTTGTCACGATCGTCCAGTAGTTTGGATCCATGAGTGACGATGTTTCTCACTCTATACAGTCCAACTGACAGCAGGAGTAGCCGCCACTTCTCGTCGGTGCTGCAAGATCCAGACTCTCTTGGTTTTTCTCCACCCATCACTAAGGCTTCTTCTGCTACTGAAACTGACTCGAGTATTCCAATCACTCGAGAATCAGATACAGTTTCGAAATCCACTCACTCGAAAATGGAGCGCTGTTCCTTGCTGAACCTGACTTACAGGTCCAAGAGCTGAGCTAACGAAGACAGACTTGTGAATCCTAGGTATAAAGGGAACTCGGGTGAGCTCTGCGCTCTCGCCCTACACGAGAGGGATTCTCGACTCACTGACTGGGTCTGGAGGCGAGCTGTGACTCTTCACGAGTGATATTTCATACGTCAACTTCACATATCGTGAACCGGCTCCCACAGAAGTTCAATAAACTGGCACTGGCCGCAATTGGAGCTCGTTCTTATAGAAGACCGAATCACATGTGTGCATTTTGCTCATGCTCCGACTCCAGAGTTTTTTTCTGCGATGCTCCGGTGTAGAACACCGGCCGGTACTTAACGACACACGGTCTAGGATTCTTTCTCGAACTCGTGTGAGAGAAAGTGCCCGTTTTATCGGTGCCTCAACTGTTGCAGCGACTGCGTTCCGACTTTAATTCTCCACTCAAGAATGCCATTGGACAAAAATCCGGAAATGTGATTGAACTTGTTGAAGAATGGCGGCTGCGTGCGTGCATGCAGTTCGAGATCGTAGGCCGGAGACCAACGTTCCCTACGCAAAGAGCAGCTGAGCACCTGATCTCTGATGTCGACCTGCGATGTCCCATAATTCGATGGCTCTTATATTATTACGAGAATATAGATACTCTTCGGCGCGACTGGATGGAGCTAACATTAGTCCACAACTTCGCAAAGACTTGGAGGCGGGTGCCATAATTTGTAATCATCATCCAAGGCCTGGCCTCTTTACTTCTTTGGTGTGTACGAGGCTCTTCATTTGCACTAACAATGTCTCCAGCCTCACCGTTCGATCGCACGTGATCGGTAATCTGGTGTGGACGAAGGCGGCTGTCAATGTTGTCGTTCACCGAGACAGATTTCGCGTACAGGTGCGTATCGCGTACTGCGCGGGCCAATCGACCTTCTGTGATCTATTTGTGGGTACTATAGCGGCTCAAGTTGCATGGACCCGCTATTCAGAGACCCAGTTTCCTCTACTGTATGCTGCAGCCATGCTTGTGATTTGCAGATCTACTATTGTACGACGTTTGAATCTTCACGATCGTGGATCTTTCACCTGCGCATCTATCGCGCGATGGAATGAACTCGATGAAATACTTGACGAAGTCCATGTGGCTTACACCAGTCGTCTACTCTGAAGGGCTGATTGTACAGATCGAGTTCCATCCAGAAGAAGTGATTTCAGAGCTTGCATGCGGTTCTTGGAAGTTTTCAAACTTCCAAGCTCGTACACGGCGGACACGGACGGAAACTCTGACGAACTCGGTTTGCTTCATACTGGATCAAACTGCACGATACGGTAGTGCACAAGATACTCAACATCAGCTTCTATCGTATTCTGCCCTTCTCCTGCTCGTTCTCCGCCCTTTTCTTATATTGGGGATCGTCTCTGCAGCGTAGAACTCAGGTTACGATTCGATTGAAGATTCAAAG